GGTCAACATTGCTTTGGTGCTACTCCTATTAGGAGATTACTAAGACTGGTCGGTGCGGATATTTTGGTGAGCAGACACAGACAGCGGTATATACGCATATTGTATACGAATATGTCTATAAATTTACAGGAGGATACACACTACGCACATCACAGAGAGGATTCTTTTTTTCTCCCTCTTAGTTTTGAACCCCGGCGATACACTAGTTCCAAACAAGGCCTAAATGTTCACGCGTTGGAGGACTTTGTGGCTTGGGACCTGACCAATTCCTATCCGTTAAGGTTCAATCATGTTATCACCAGGAATGGCAGCTTTTGTATTGTTCGACGGCTATAAGAAGTGATGGTTAGGGGTCCTCCCCGACTAACCCAGCATGGGATATCTTCTGTAAGCTTAATGTCCCGAGTAAAATCAAGATCTTTGCATGGAGAGCTCTTCATGGCATTATCACTGGATTTGATGTGCTCGCAAAGAGGCATATAAACGCCAGTCCTCGATGTCCGGTGTGTAAGCAGGGGGATGAAGATATTAAACACCTGATGTTTACTTGCCCCAGAGCAAAGCAAGTTCGGAAATCTTTGGGACTGAGTGATGCTATCAAGGACACTTTGAGCATGGAAGTTTTTGGAAGTGTGGTTCTTGTAGTATTGTTGCGAAGAGAAACCAGAAAATCTCCAATCCTTAGCCAGCTAGGGTTCCGAGAAACTCGTGGTGGGTGCATTGTATATATGGTGGGTACGCGTGTTGTGGCATCCATCCATTTACGATGGAATACTAGGCATTGATCGTACGGTGCCTAGCACGTCGGGCAGCGCAACAGCGCGCAAACACTCACACGCTAAAATTACGGAAGTTTTTATGGCATTTGATCTCGCAAGCTAAGTTTTCGCGTAAGCGCATGCACTGAACGAAGAAAGTATAAAAAGAAGGAAAGTAAAAAAGAGGGAAGGAAATCTAACAGGAAACCCAAGGCGAGACGATACAAATTTGAGAACGTATACGCGCACAACCCATATCCAGTTCATCCATATTGCATGCAAGTCAAATCAGCTGTCCTACATGCATGTCAAATCAACAGTGCTGGTACCTCTCTCTTCTTTCTCCCAAACAAACCCATCATTTTATTACCTCTTTGTAAACTTAAATCATTTATACCTTCTAAATCAATATTTCATCTTTATTACTTTTTACATATTTGAACTTCTGATGCAAAGACCTTTAGAACAAGACCAATGTTGAATATATTTGAACTAGTTTGAAAATTTTCATCAAAGTTCGATAAATTTAGATTGTGTGTGGCTTAAACAAGTTCCATGTCCCCACAAAAAAGTTCAGGCAAGCTGCTTATAAGTTCTTTGGTTTCAAATACATTTTCTAGCAAAGTTCTTTAATATTTCTAACAAAGTGCAAACCCACAGTTCAAAAAGTTCTTCACCTTCTAATTCTGTTAATTTAGCACTTTACAATAAAAATGAGAAGTTCTTTACTGTTTTCAGCAAAGTTCCTCAGTAGAAACACTGATAACCTACTAAACAATCATATTGCAGTTTTAGTTAACAAAAATGTGTTTAAAAACTATCCAAGACTGATCTTGTTCTAAAGATCTTGATGTCAATAGTTCAAATATATTAAAAGTTCTAGAAATAAAATTATAATTATAAAGATATGAATCATCTAAACTGTCAGAAGAAAACTAGAAGTAATAAAGTTTGTAGAGAGAAAGGACACTGTAGGCATGCATGTGTAAGACTGTGGTGATGAAAAGGAGAGAAAGAGGGGCATGCACATGCGAAGTGCAAATAGTTAGGATTAGCCTTATTGGTACGTGAGCACCCCTTATTCTTTTTTTTTACAAAAAAACTTCCAATCTATTCATCCTCAATCATGGCAGTACAACGAATACTAGAAATAAAAATTACATCCAGATTCGTAGACCACCTAACGACGATTACAAGCACCGAAGCGACCCGAAGGCGCGCCGCCGTCATCGCCCCTCCATCGCCGGAGCCGGGCACAACTTGTTGTAGTAGACAGTCGGGAAGTCGTCGTGCTAAGGCCCCGTAGGACCAGCACCCCAGAACAACAACCGCCGCCGATGAAAAATAACGTAGATCGAAAGGATCTGAATCGAAGACACACGAACGTAGACGAACAACGACGAGATCCGAGCAAATCCACCAAAGATAGATCTGCCAGAGACACACCTCCACACGCCCACCAACGATGCTAGACGCACCGCCGGAACGGGGGCTAGGCGGAGAGACCTTTATTCCATGGGGAGCCGCCGCCGTCTCGCCTTCCTGAGTAGGACACAAACCCTAACAAGATTGAAAAAAAAACGATTAGAAACGGAGCCCTCCCGCCGGCCCTTGCCAGGATCCACCGCGCCTCCATGGCCTTAGGGCTACCGGAGACGAGGCGGACCTGCGCCGGCGCCGGCGAGAGGCACGAACCCTAACTTTCTTTCTTGGAAAAGGAGGAGAAGGCGGAGCGCCTGATACGTATGCAACCCTTTGTAATTCGTGAGCACCTTATTCGTACGTAATGATCACGCATTTGACTCAACTCTGCAATACAACTCCAAACCGAACCTTAGCAACTCGTGACATCAACCGAAGCAAAGTAATCAGACCCGTCAGCGATTCTAAACCCGCGATCGATTCGATACGATACGATACGAGACGATGGAGTTCCGAGGAGCCGAGCCGACGAGGAGGCATCATCGTCAGCCTACCGGCGGCGTAGTCTCCGGTGCCCAAGGGTTGGCGGCGCTATCCGCCAGCCTCGCGCGGGCTCTGGCCGACAAGCACGCAGACAGCAACCTGGTCTTCTCTCCGCTGTCCATCTACACCGCGCTGGCGCTCGTCGCGGCCGGCGCCCGCGGCGCCACCCTGGACGAGATCCTCCGCTTCCTTGGCGCGCCGTCCCGGGGCGAGCTCGACGCGTTCGTCGCGCGCGCAGCGGGGGCCGCGCTGCAGGACCAGTCGGGCTCCGGCGGCCCGTGCGTGGCGTTCGCGTGCGGCGTCTGGAGCGACATGGCCTGCCCGCTGAAGCCCGGGTTCCGCAGGGCCGTCGTCGACGGCCCGTACGGGGCCGAGGCCTCCACCGTGGACTTCCGCGGCGACCCCGAGGGATCGCGCCAGCTGATCAACGCGTGGGCGGCGCGCGCCACCAACGGCCTGATCGAGTCCGTGCTCGGCCGGAACTCGGTGAACGAGCTCACGCGCGTCGTGCTCGGCAACGCCGTCTACTTCAAGGGCAAGTGGGACCAGCCCTTCCACAAGAGCGACACCGCCGACGCGCCGTTCCGCCGGGCCGGCGGCGCCGGCGCCGTCGACGTGCCCTTCATGCAGAGCTGGAAGAGGCAGTTCGTGGCTGTGCACGCCGGGTTCAAGGTGCTCAAGCTTAAGTACAAGATGGGGGACGCGCGCCCACGCCCGCCGCTCCATCCCAGAGACGACGCGAGCACGCAAGACAGACGCACCGAAACCTTTCACCGTGATCCCACCAAGCCAGCCCCGTTCTTCCCTAACCGTGCCCCGCTCGGCCATCCTGATCGACTCTCTCATGCTGCTCGCCAGCCCAACGCATCTTTCCGTCTCGCCGGCTTGCCCAGCTCCAGCTCCAGCCCCACACAGTTCTCCATGTGCATCTTCCTCCCGGACGCCGACGACGGTCTGCGCAGTCTGCTCGAGGCCATTGCTTCCCGGCCGGGCTTCTTGCACGAGCACCTGCCTACTCAGAAGGTGGGCGTCGGCGAGTTCCGTGTGCCCAGGTTCAAGCTCTCCTTCCACGACAGCGTCGGCGGCGTCCTCAACAAGCTGGGCCTCCGCATGCCGTTCAGCGAGGCGGCCGACCTGTCCGACATGACGGAGGACGACCGCTCCGGCCTCCCGCTGGTCCTGAGCGAGGTCATCCACAAAGCGGTCACCGAGGTGAACGAGGAGGGCAGAAGGGCCGCGGCCGTCACCATGTGTCTTATGAAGGAGGGGTGCGAGGCCAGGCCGAGGCCGCCGCCACCAGTGGACTTCGTCGCCGATCATCCGTTCGCCTACTTCATTGTGGAGGAAGGGACCGGCGCCGTCTGTCTTTGCCGGCCATGTCCTCGATCCCTCGACACAATAGTAGCAACCTAGGATGTTGGAACTCCCGTATTTCGAATACATTTGCATGCGTTTGAAATAGATGACCAATTTTTTTACACATTTTTGTAAGGTTTATCGGTTAATTTGTTCCTTCAGGCTTAGTTGATCTGCTCGAGTGATTACTCGCTGGCTCGTTGCTGTCACTAAAGTTTCAGATTCCTCAGAAACCAAGTTTCAGTTCCACGCCTAGGTACTCCTTGCATGCTATAGCATGGCCATTAGAGGTGTTAATCATGCCTTTAGTGCACTGATACATGATTGCCAAATCATGGACACACCAATTCAGACGCACAAAGGAGCCATGGACACTGCACCACTCACGATAACAAATGAGTGCGCCCCTCGAGACCTTGTAGAAAATATGGCATTCCAGCGAGCAAGTGTAGCAAACAATATACAGGTTATCCACAGTTTCACAGGCGCAGAACTACCCCAAAAAATTAATCACCACGCTACAGCTAACAGCCAAAAAATGAGATTACATGTGTGTGTGTGCCCTTATTGGCAAAAGAGAGAAATATGAAATGAATCTTTGCATCGACGATCTTTCCAAACAGTCTGGACAACGAGACATCATCCTTTACCTGCTACATAAAAAATCGCAAGATCCCGAAACCATCAATCAATCTGTTCAATGCAATGGACAGATGATGCTGCGTCTGCTCAATACTGTCGACACTGGTAGCCAATGGCAGCACCTCTTCTCCTGTTCAACTGCTGCGTCTAGTTTGTTGTGGATGGTAGCCAATGACAGTGCAGGTCTTGGGAGCTACAGGCATCCAGTAGACAGTGGCGGATTTTAGGTGGAGGCCAGTGGATGTCGCAAACTGTTGTCGAGGGTTCTGATCAAGTGTGCTACGGATTTACATTGCACTCATCCATGAATCGATCTTCTCGAGTGAGAAACCTCCTCCAGTATTTCTTGTAGTCCAGTATGCCTAACTCAAGCCAAGGCTTCATATTGCCATTGTAGTGCAATGCTGCAGAGCTCTGTGCAACCTCCGGATCGATTCCATAATCATATCCAAGTCCAGACAGAGTCGTCCTCCCATCAAGAGGGTAGACGAGATTTTCAAAAGACAACAGGCTTAAAGAAAAGGCAGCTTCTCTCAGAGATACCTCGTCTTTTTTCTTGACCTGCAACACAACAGCAGAATAAATGTCCAGTGCCCTATAACTATATGAAGCACCGTTGTTCGGTATATTACACAGAAATTAATACAATAATGACACTTGCCCGTAACAAAAATTAATGCAGCATGCTACCCATTCCATGCAAGTAATTGAGAATAAACTGAATTTCACACCACATATAAACTGTCCAAATCTTCTCCCATGCCGTTTTTTTATGCGGGCTCAGTTTTTTATACACTGTAGCATGAAACCAAATAGAGAAGACTTGTACCAACCTGTTTAAGGAGCAGCAGGTAATTCTCTGTCACTTTATGCTTCCTCCATTTATCCAAATTGATCACATTCACCCCAGACATCCATGCACATGATTTAGGATCATACTTTGTCTTACCCAGGAGATTTCTCACTTGACCCAGTCTTACACCACAAAATTCGACAGCACCATTTACCTTGTCCCCCATATCAAGTTTCCACAAGAAAGACAGATCGCGCTGAACAACCACATCATCATCCAATACAACCACCTTTTTTAGATCCTTGAATATTTCAGGAATAAAGAAATGTGAATGGCTGAACAATGACAAGTACTCTATTCTTGTCTGCTCAGTGGGCCGCTCGGTGCTCCTGATGAGAACACGAAACTCCTCAGACAAATACAGCTCTAGCGTACTAAACTTCGGTAGCTTCTCTAAGATCATTTCTTCATAGTTTACGACATGGATAGGTGCCTTTTTGTATGAATTTCTGGCAAACCAGTATTTCATGCCATAGAAGTTTTGGGCATCAGTTAGGATATGAAAAACATTGTTTGCTGGCTCCTACAAGAACAATAAGAACATCAGCAATGCCCATAGCAGAAGATAACAGCAAACTAATAATTTTAAATATCACCCACATACCTTAGAATTGATAATTGTTCAGTTGATGACAACAGAAGCTGCAAGGACATTCTTAGATAGTATAACATAGTGCCTATGGTTTGGGGTATTAAACTTGCGAGCCGGATAAACATCAGAATCCAATGAAGGGGATTTGAAATATTCCAATGTCAACCTCATAGAGAAACAGTGATGAGTTTTTGGCAATGTCTGAGAACCAAGATTGTAGAGGAATGCACTCTGCTTCATATGAAAATGAGCTTCATCATCGGTCATATCAAGTATCTGCCGAAGCTTCCTGACAACATTGTGGCATTCCACAGTGCATGATTTCGCTCTTGCTATTGTGTGCTCCATCTGCTCTATCTTCTTGTTGATACTGAACGAAATAGCTTAGTTGTCATTTAATTATCAAAGTAGTAACTCATATATTGAAAACTGGTAAATTATATGCAGGTTGGGTTTCTACTCCTTTTACAAATAAATGCACAAGACACGTATCAGAACCATATCCACTGAGGCACCAAAAGGTACTCCTTCCATTTCAAAATATAAAGAGTATTCTGACTGTCCAAATTTGTGCTTTGACCAACAATTAGTTGAATAATACGTAGCTTACGTTACACAAAATAGACACCACTATATTCGTGTTGAGAAGCACTTTCTTATGATAATGATTTGTGACAACAATATATTGTATGAGAAATTTACAGTCAAAGTTCAAGTTTAGACAGGCAAATACACTGTATTTTCAAACAGAGGGAGTAACACTCTAATGTCCGTTTCAGTCTGATGTGTGCTGGTAAGATACGGTACCATAATAACCTAGTCATCATAAACTGAAATTTAAGATTTACAAATGGAATGAATTAAGAAAAGACAATAAAAGCTTAACCATTAAAAATGTATTCTTACAAGGATGGTAGATCAGCATCAACAGCAGATGCACTGAGAATCCTCTCATGGTCTTGTATATTTTGCTTCATTTCCTGAGTAAGTGCCTCCTGCCCTTCAAGTTTGGCAATGCTTGGATAGTATGAGCGGGCCACGAATAGTTGGTCTTTTAGCCTTTTCACTACTGAATCCTTCATAATTACTTTGTGTTCTGTTGACCAGAGGCAGTAGCTCCCAAATTCAAGCTGACATGCCTTTAAATTTTCCACTTCATCTGGTTTCAGGTCTTTCTTTTGTCTCTTTATATCCTTGCTAACTTCCTGAAAGCAATGCATGTGCATTATAGCAAAACCACTGGACTCTGATTGATGCAAAGATAAGGGGAGGGATAAGAACATTGATTGGAAAATTAAGTACTATACACTCCGAAAGATGCCGGGTTGCAGTACACTCAGCATTGTCTTAAGATTAGCTTACCTAAGTACACTATCACATCAATCCACTAATATGGAACGCAATTATTTGAAAATATTGCATTGTGTGCCTAAGATCTTTTATGAGATTGAGCTGACAATCTAATATCTAAAAATTATATACTTGCTGCTACTGCTGTAGAACCCCCCATTTTCATTTTGTTGACTAAACATGTCAAAACATAAGCAGAGCTTGAGCCCAGTTCTGAAAAATACAGTATATATTTGAATGCAGAAGGCGTACAATTGTTCTTTGAGTTGATCCCTTCACAGCCTTTGGCGGTTCAGTTCTTGGTACCGGAAGAACTGCATATGTCATCAATTACTGAGTCAGATGTAAAGATAAACTAAACAAACAGCTGCACCATACAGGATAAAAGACCAATAAAGAAAGGACTGCAACCTATAAATAGGTTCCACGTAAAACAAAACATATAAACAGCTCGTCCAAAGAAAGCGAGGTTGTTCTCGAAACATCAAACTGGTTTGTTTGGAAATATTTGGGTAGAATAAATTGCTTCTCGTATCTAAAGTAAACTACAAGAGGTAGACGTCAAAGAAAACCGAGATAGCACATGCACTTCATAGTCTGTTTGGAAATATTTAGGTAGAATAAAAATTGCTTCTAGTATGTAAAGTGAGCTAGGAATTTTGAGGGAAGCAAGAGTGAGAGGCCAAAGAAGAATTGACATAGCACATGCACGTTATAGTCTGTTTGGAAATATTTGGGTAGAATAAATTGCTTCGTCTATGTATAGTAAACTACTCCCTCCTTCAGAAAATATAAGAGCGTTTAGATCACTAAAGTAGTGATCTAAACACTCTTATATTTCTTTACAGAGGGAATAGGAATTTTAACGGAAGCAAGAGGTAGAGACCAAAGAAAAACCGAGATAGCACATGCACGTCTTCGGGTATTATCACATTATCAGAAAGCTGGAGACCTAAGAGCACTGGTTTAAATCATGCCACGCGGTATATTCATGATGCACACTTTCCTCAAGTAAATACCTCAAAGGCACAAACAGCAGGTTTTGCTAATAAGTATACCATGTTTCTTTGCAATTGCATAGGCATACTTACATTCATTAAATGATTTTCTAGCATTTGCAACACTTTCACTGATTCACTCCTATCTCAAAAGCTTAGACAAAGAAAAAAAATTAACTGGGCACCGGGTTTTTTCTGTTACTATGCGGTACCTTTTGGTTTAGGACTAACAGCCAAAGGGGGGCGATCAATTTGCTTATGATGTGGCGGCGGCACCCCACTGCTGCCATTCGAAATCTTCCTGGGTGCATCCTGAGAAGAAAAAAAGCAAGTGTAACATATCGCAGATGCAAATTTGCCCATTCTTGAACTGCGCTGTCAAAATACTTTGTTATCTTTCATACTCCATAAACATGAAACAAAGTGAAAATCGAGTATAATACATTCCCCCTAGTGCTAAGGGTTATATAAGAAGAGAACGGTATCTCAACAAAGCTAATACGCGACAGACACTACACCAAAAAAAGCTTGCCATTGCAGATCAGCCGTTCCACTCAGCATCCTATGCTTAATTCCGGGTAGAATCTTGACATAAAGGAGCACAACAAACGATGATGACTAGACATCACTGAGGTCGCCATCACGGAACCATACAAATCTACTAGTACTACAAAAGAGTCGACATCATGGATAAAAGGGGTATGGCAGCGCAGCCAACCTGTATCGCTCGTTTGACAGGGACTGGATCGACAGCGCCACCGCCAACAATCGGCTCCACGGGATCGAATGGATGAAAGACGACCTCCTAAATCCACACACACAAAAACACAAAAATCAGCACGAATCGCCCACCGGCCCCGCTCCAACCGCAATGAAGGCGGAAACAAACAGTGCCACACCTGTCGGCGCCGCTCGTCGGTGGTCACGTAGCCTGCATCGCAAACCAGTCAAGAAGAGGCGGTTAATAATCCAGAGAAGTCCAGATCCACCCGGAGGCGCGCGCGCGCATCCGCGCCGCATTCGCCGAACCCCCAATCGGAGCGGGCGGGGGAGGAGGTGGAGGGGGGGTACCGGTGGGGGCGCGGTCGAAGACGAAGGCGAGGGGCACGAGCAGGGAGCAGAGGACGAGCGCGAGCAGCACCAGGCGCGGGCCCCTCCGCCTCTGCGGCGGCGTCGCCTTCATC